AATAACACTTTCACTGAAGTAGATTCAATCAAAGTGTAGACAGTAGTTTTGATGCATAATTTACGATCAAAACAGTTAAGTAATTCAACGAGAAACAATGTCACGGATTAAACGTTAGGTCCCTTCGAATGTGCCCGTGCTTTCGTTTCAACGACCTTGAACGGCCTGACTAGAGGCAGTTATTCCGTATTTCAATAGCCGTGGGTTGGTTGGATTGTATGAGTATCAAGTTTTTTCAAATATAAGTCATCTTATGCTGCATAAAAAGCACGATATAAATACCAAAAGCATTAATTTAGCATTCTCTGTTTTATAGTGTACACTTTGGCTCTGTTGTTGCTTTGTAATTGATCTGTGATCCAAACAACTGTGGTAAAGCTCAACGAAATGTCAAGTCACAGATAAATCCTAAGTATTTGTAGTATTTCCTTGGGTCATTATTGTTGCAAGGAATAACTTTTTAATAATTATTCATGTCTGTTTTTAGTGCTTCATACTCAAGTGACATTTCTGTCGACCTTACCGATGCCTTTCGAAGTATGATACTGAACGAGCGTTTCGTGTTCTGGGATGATTTTGATAGCGCCTTAAAAGAGTTCCAAAAAGTATGGAATAGTAATTTTATCGCTTCTCAGAATAATTATACTCGTTACATCCACACGGAAAGCAGGTTGCTGAAGGGTGTCAGGTTCAAATACCTGTGTGGAACGTTTAGTTGTACGTTTGGTCGTAAACGGAAATCGGAAGGTTTGAAAGTGGATCAAAAATCGTAAGATCTTTAACTAATATCTGATGTTTAAGGTCTTAATTCCGTAATTGTTAATCTAAATTCCATGTAAGACTAGAGGAGCAAGGATATGTAATCAAATACTACAACATGCTCCACAATCATCCATGTAGTAGTTCATGGATGGTATGTGTTCCATGGACAAGGAGATTATCATCAGAAGAAAAAGAGAACTTGAAACCAGTAATACTGCAATCTGAGTCAGCAGATGAAGTTATTGAAAGTATTAAGGAGAGAACTGGTAAGTAAGTAACCGCTGCCGATGTCAAAGGTATGAAAGATACACTCTCCACTGATAAGTGAATATAAATATATTTCAGGTTGTACTCGGAAGCAGGTAATGCACATGATGCGACAAAACGGTGAAGTTAGAGAGCATGTAGAAAATGGATGTATTACGGCAATATGCTTCAGCAGTTATGATCAGATACGGTTGTACAATCAATATCCCGAAGTCGTGTGTATTGATTCCACGTATAAAACTAATAATAAAAAGTGAATATGATTTTCGTTTTGTTCTACTATGTAGATATGCATTATTCCAGTTAGTTGTGACAGACAATTAGGGTCGAGGACGAACTGTTATGCTTGTGTAGACACGAAAAGAAAAGCGTGACGATGTGATATTGATTTTAGATAAATTCAAAGAGATGATGGCTAACACAACAATAACGGAAACATTTTTGATGGATTGCGCACGATCTGAAAGCGCGGCTGTCCGTATAACACACGAGCATGGAAACATCATTTTGTGCGCTTTTCATGTAATTCGCGCTTTCCGGAAAAGGTACACCAATGGTTGCTTATATAAAATTTCCCTTAGACAAATGATAAAATACTAAAGACCTACTTGAATCGATTGGTAACTGCAGAAACGGTCGGAAGGTAATTTTTAATGTATTTATTCACAAGATTTAATCAATATTACAGAATAATAAATCGGAGAGACAGTGATAGGCCAGTACGATTCGCGAAACAGGTGGAGAGAAAAGTCTACAATTTTTACTTAAGAATTATAAACAACTAGACAACACGTTTACGATGAAAAGTTCTTTGTGGCTTTATTTTTGACTCCACTATTTATACAACTTGTAAACTTATCTTTCCACTTTAGTAGTCATGAAAAATCAATAAACATTTTCTCATTTTTTATTTTCGTCTTCTTCATACCTTCATGGGGAGGTATTCCAATCGTTTTAACGAATAATTGTGCGTGAGAATTAAGAACTTGTACTACTGCATTAGTTTAGAATTGTTGTAAGAACTTAGTGTTATATCGTTGTTCACTATCAACGTCAGTTGTTACTCACATTATTTTTTTCAGATACGTTACATAATAATAAGTCAATTCAGTACAAAACGATGGTAGCTCTAATGGCTATAACTTTTTATGGCTACATACAAATAAGTTATATAATATTCACAATTATGTTAACGCTTAATTGCTTCTTTTTACATTTTATAAACAACTACCGACATCCATGTTCACCGTCACCACAATCAAGGAGGTGAATCATATGTAATGGATTTTACGGCTTAATTTCATGAAAACTCAATCTGTGATCTACTTTTTGACTAGAAACATAGTGAAATTTACTTGCTTGAGTTTGTATTGTTACAAATAACTATATTACGCTAACTACAGATTTACTTACGTGGTGAGCAAGAAATATGTCAAACTGCTAATAAATTGGAATAAAAACTGTTACAAGCACAAGTATTACGGAAATTGATGTGTGATGAAAAAAAGCCTGTTAATAACTGATAAATAACGACAGAAAAAATCCACGACAATATGTTACATGTGCGCGAATACCCGTGACTTAACACGCATAGTGTGCCGAAACAATACCACTGTCCTTTTAGATAGCACTCGTCTTTCACAAAAACAGGCGAAGATTTTCGAAGTATTTCTGAGGATCGTGAAATTCGCCGTTAAAAAAATGGAGATGAGGTTGCCTGCCTATTCTTAAAAAAAGATTTAGGCTCTGGACCGAGCATGTGGGTACTGAGAAGAAAAACTCTACAAGGTGATTCTTATCAGCACAACTGAGTAATCTTTCTTTTCTCGAATCGATGAGTAGTAAAGAAGAATATGATTTCTTTAATATTGTTTAACTTTATACCATAATACAGTAATATATACAAAGAGTTGCATGTTTGTTATTTCGTTTACATATAAACAGAGGTTTAAAAAGATAGCGCCTAAACTAAACAGTTGCGTGCTTGGCAGTGTCATATGTACTGGGCTGCATACCTTTGGGATATGAGCAATCACTAGGTTATTTGCATTAGTTGGCAACCAACGTAAGTCATCATATCTCGCTTGACATTTTTCGAAGATTTTCTTTATTTTTGTTATAGTTTGGTCTTTAAGCATTTCCTGATTACCTGGTTCACGTTGTTTATTCTAATGCCGGTTTACAAAGGTTTGAACAATGCAAAATAACATTTCAAATTAATGGGTTTTGTGAACAGTGAATATAAAGTGGCAGAAGAATAAGTACTCAAATGTGGAATGTAACACCGATGAGTGTCCCGAGTTATTCAAGGCGTTACTTTTCTCGCTTACTGGTGTTCCTCCCGACCGTCAGAAAATTATGATGCCTGGGGGAATATTAGGCGATAAAAATTACAATGGCATTAAACTGAAGGATGTAAGAATCTTATATCCTGACGTTTATCATTAAGGGAATTAACGTCATGCTTGTTGGGTCTGTTGACGAAGTACCGATTTCCGAAACCCCTTGTTTGGATGATTCAAAAGTTGCTCATTACACAGAAGACACTATAAAACTACCGCCTGGCCTCGTTAATCTTGGCAACACTTGTTATATGAATGCAGCTGTGCAATTGCTTTTCTCAATCCCAGAATTGCGTTTAGCTTTGCAGATGTAAGTTCATATAAATACTTTTAATTTCAAACTTTTATCCAATATCTTGGTATCTGTATAAGTCGGGTATTACGACAATAAACAAATATGCTTTTATAACGATAGCGCAACTGCTAGTATGTAGTGTACTACAGTATCCCCATATCTGCAGTTCAAATGGTTGTGGACGGAATATAAGCTTTCGTGTCTAGTCGCAATGGATCACCAAAACCTCCAGGCAGAAATTTAGGTATACTTACGATAATAGGAGAAAAAATTGGTTAATCACATTATGTTGTCCTTAGTCCTTAAAGACTAATATTCGCTATACTCTTACCGTTTCACACAAAATTGTTAGTCAATGGTTGTAATTGTTATAAGTATTCACTATGATGGTCTTCGAAACTGACTTGTTCAGACAGCTTTGTTTAATCTGTGTTTATGACAGCCCCCAAATGCCATGGCACAGTCGAGAGTCTAATGAGTCAACTCTCGAAATGCTCTCACATGGCCTCGTACATACTTCCACTGTCAGGAAAGTCCTACTCACTGCCTTCTCGCGTCGGGGGCGTCCTTTACGAAACTGAAAAAACGAATAGGGAATATCTGTCGCTTTAACTGGGTTGGAAAACCCTGACTCTAAACCAATGGTGTACATGGGCTCCGGGATTTTGAGGAAACAAATGGCGTATAAACCTATTGTTAGTCACCGGCTACCATGGTATTACATCTCCTTAGGCTGCCTGACTGTCTTGTGGATTAGGCCTTTAGGTCGAAGGCTTGGGGTGTGGCTCCATGAGAAAACTCACTGCTTCGTGTCCCAGCCCTCACACAAACCAAATGATATGTGTGGTGCCTGCTTGTGCTATTGTATTTAATAAATAATAAAGTTGGTTGGAATATTCCACTCAATTCCATAAAGAATATGTTTTTGGAGTCAGTTTGCCGGTAAGTATTTTACGTTGGGTTTTGAACACCGACTGGCCATATTTTGAAGCTGAGCTTTATTAGTTTTGATGGTTTGTCCAGTTTCATGCATCATTCTCAGTGAAAATTTTAATTCCAAATCAAAATGCCACTCAAGTCTCGAACTTGTCACTAAGAACTTATAATAATTCATTATCCCAAAAAAGAATCTTTTTGGCCATAAACTTATTTAAAAGATCAGTTTGGTTTCGTTATCGAGTAAAAATACTTTTATAATTATTTTGTCAGTTTTAAAAATATTTGCCCAAGCTGTGGGAGCTCGACGAAATATCCCGAGACAATTTTTCGAGAACAAGTTAGATGTAACTCCTGTCCTTCCGGCCAGTTTGTTCAAAGCAAGTACCTATTATTCGGTTCGTTTGTAATGACATGATAATAATAATAATGAAGAGACAAATTCATTTTGAATTATGTATTGGATATAATATTCATCAGGAGTAAGCATTTCGTGTAATTTTGCTTTCACATTTACCTTACACTAGATAGACCTTCACAACTGCACTAGACAGATGTGCTTTCAAAGCTACTCATACGATGTTTGCTGGGATTTTGTTGTATTATATTCAGAAACTTACTCTCAAGATCTCCTGGTTAGTTGTCATCCTTTTGTGCAGTGATAAAAATGTTAAAGTAATGTAAGGTTGTGCTGGACGAGGTCAATCGATGTATAAAACCACTCACATTGAAATAAGTTGCATACTAATTGGAACAGTGATTATATGTTCGATTAACAACATATTTGGACGACTTCCATTAAGCAAGTTTCGCCCTCCAACGGTAGGCTTGAGTCCTAAAAATACCATGAAGTTATTGCACAAATTAACTAACTACTGGTTTACTCAGTGGGTAGGAGTGAAGTAGCTGAGCGTATCGACCGCTCCACTTATTTTGGAAGTCTCATCAGCCCTTGTGGTCTGGTGTGTGACGAAATCTCAGCACGGATACAGAAGGCTCGACTAGCTTCTGCCAACTTGCGTCATTTATGGAGTAGGCGAAATATCCGTCTATCAACCAAAGGACGTGTTTTTACTGCACAGCAGTCCGTTCCATCCTACTTTATCGCTGTGAAACATGGCCGGTAAGAGTAGAGGATATCCGTAGGTTACTAGTATTTGATCATAGGTATCTTCGAAACATTGCTCGTATATCCTGGGACCATCGAGTAAGTAACACAGTTGTTAGGAAACGGGTACTAGGTAAGGATGGCAAGTCGATTGATGAAGTGGTGGAACTTTATCAGTTGAAAAGGCTGGAACACCTGTTACGTATGCCCAACGACCGACTACCTCGACGTGCGATGTTTTATGGTATATGAGTAGGTTAGAGAAGCTAGGGGCGGTCAGACCAAAACATGGCACACGTCCATGAAGTCACTGACAAGTAGACTGAGTCATGTTGGTAGGTGTAGACCACCTGATTGGGTACCGCGTGATGATAGCAACCGATGGTTAGAGTCCCTGAATGACATGGCTCAAAATCGTTTGCAATGGCGCAGGTGCATCCACTCTTTGTGTTCTCCCAATTTTTGATCTCCTGATTCCTCCTTGTCTTTTTTTTCTCTTCCCAAATTTACTTAACTGTATTATGCTCTTTAAATAACATGTCCCCCGACCGAAGCTGCTACCTTGACGCGGTGGTCGGGCTTGCCTATCGTGATGACCCAACCGAGCTATATTGGCTGGAACACATGTTCCTGCAGGTTCTACCATGCCGGGCATGTCGATTGGTGAACGGTAAGACTAAAAGCAGCAACTCAAGGTCTGAGGGCGAAGTCGTACTGCTGACTGCAGAGAGGTGTGACAGCAGTAAAGTGTTTCCCTCGGACAACCAGCATGACAGCGATGCTGCCTTCCCACAAGGAGGGGTGGGGTTAGAAAAGGTCGACCCTAAAAATGTCACACCTCACCTTACCTCACGGATTTCCGTCTCCGGCGGTAAGGCCCTTTGAAGAACGGAGCTAACACATTAAAAACCTTCCACAAAAAGGTCGTGCGCGACCGGCCTCAAGCAGTTGTCCCTTGGGCTCCAAAGTTGTCAAGACCAACACTAATCCAATTTCCTTTCCAGGTTCCTCAAGAAATACCCTTCCACGGTGTGGGCAGCCGCAAGTGACATCAGCCCTCATACCCGTAACTGCACACGAGACCAAGTTGGTCACATTCAAATCCTTCCTACACCTCCTAATACCTCTCTTATCTCCTCGACTAACCCTCCTCACGTCTCTTTATCACCTCGCACCGCTAGGGCAAACGATTCGAGTACGTGGAAGACTATTCCTGGTCTCCTGAAACCACGCTCTAAACTACACGTAGGAGCTTTTAACGTACGAACACTTTGCCAAATAGGACAGCAGGCTTCCTTAGCTAGGACTTTAGAATCTCGCGCCATCGATGTGTGCTGCGTCTCCGAAACGCGTATACAGGATCCGAGTAGCGTCATTCATTTGACCTCACCATGCCAAAATAAAGAACCGACTCGATTTACGCTTCGTGTATCTGGAAGCCCTGATTCTGCTTCCCGTGGCCTCGCCGGCGTAGGTATAGCATTGAGTCCTAAGGCAGAACTAGCTCTCTTAGAGTGGATCCCAGTAGACAGTCGTTTGTGCGCTGTCCGACTAAACGGAAGTGTAAGGATTCGAAAAGATAGGGACACTCGTCGTTTCTGCCTATTCTCCCACTGACTGCAGCTCAGATGATGTAAAAGATGAGTTTTACAGAAAGCTTTCGGACCTTCTCCGAAAAGCTAAGCGCTCGGATGTAGTAATAGTGGCCGGTGACTTTAATGCTCAAGTAGGTAAACTAAGCGATAGAGAAAGACACCTAGGTGGATCTTATAGCATCGTGGCTCAAAGAACAGATAATGGCGACCGTCTGTTGCAGCTATGCTCATATAACCGCCTGTTCCTTGCAAATACTAACTTTAAGCATAAGGAAAAACATCTTTTAACATGGCGACAACCTAATTCGTCCCAACGTTGGACCCAAATAGATCACATCGCTATCAGCTACCGATGGAGGGGCTCGTTAGAAGACAGTCGCTCATTCTGGAGCACATGCTTAGATTCAGATCATGCTCTAGTGCGAGCGCGTATTTGCTTGCGTCTTACTGGACGTAGGAAAGATGCTGCAAGTAAACCTCTTAGGGGCCTACTTAATGATAGTCAAGCTAAGAGTATATTTCAGGAACAACTAGGAAAACATTTAGGCAGCCATGTATGTGATGCCCACCCCGATGCAACATGGAATGATATCCGAAAAGCTGTGGAAACAGCAGTGATATCTGCTAGTCAGGTAAACCAGAAGGTTAGGGAGCAACACTGGATCTCAGCAGCATCTATCGCACTGATAGATGTTCGGAAACTCATTCCACCTGGCTCTGAACATAATTAGGAGCGTAGTCAGCTTAAGCGCAAGCTGACAAGAAGTCTACGCAATGATCGCGAACAGTGGTGGGTAGCGAAAGCAAGAGAGATGGAAAAGGCAGCGGCAACAGGTAATAGCAGACAATTGTTCAGACTCGTTAGGGAAACCGGTATTAGGAACCCGATTGTTAGCGAAACAATCTCAGAGAAAGATGAACATATTATACATTCTCAATTCAGGAGATTGGATCGATGGGCAGAACACTACGGATCAGTTCAACTGGCCTTCAGCCACACTTCGGTTTCCCACGATCTCTAGTCAACCTGAATGGCAAGTTAATGTAGGTCCTCCGACTCTTTACTAAGTTGAAAAAGCCATAGGAAATCTGAAACGAGGGAGAGCAGCAGGTCCTGACAGGTTTACTCCTGAGATTTTTAAGTATGGTGGTCCAGTATTAGCAATGAGATTAACCGAGGTCTTAGGTAGAATTTGGGAACTGGACGTAATCCCATCTGACTGGACTCAATCACTGATTGTGCCAGTCTATAAGAAAGGACAAAAGTCCTCTTGTGACAATCACAGAGGAATCAGTTTGACCAATATAGTGTCTAAAATATTAGCTTCAATAATACTTCGACGCCTAACTAAAGCTCGTGAAGAGCAGACTAGAGAAAACCAGGCTGGTTTTCTACCTGGACGTGGTTGTATAGACCAGATATTCACGCTACGTCAGGTTCTAGAACACAGACACACATTCAGACGCCCCGCAATGGTAGTATTTCTCGGACTTAAGGAGGCATTCGACTCTGTTGATCGTGAGGTTCTATGGCAGTGTTTGTCACTGAAAGGAGTACCAAAGAAGTACATTAACCTTATAAAGGCTCTCTACTCGAACACAACTGGTAGAGTGAGAGCTTATGGCGAACTGTCATCAGAATTGATTACCTCAAGTGGTGTTCGTCAGGGCTGTCCACTCTCCCCATTCTTGTTCAACTTTGTCATTGACGTACTTTTAGAGATAACACTCTCCTCATCTAAATTTGCAGGGGTTGAACTTCTACCGGGAGTTTCACTTGTTGACTTGGAATATGCTGATGACATAGTTCTATTTGAAGTCGTTGACAAAATGCAGAGTCTTCTGAACACTCTAAGCAACAATGCAAACATGTTCGGCATGCCATTCTCTCACTCGAAATGCAAAATGTTTCTTCAGGATTGGGTTACATCGACACCCAAACTAGTGATAGGGAGTGAAGTAGTTGAGTGTGTCGACCGCTTCACTTATCTTGGAAGTCTCATCAGCCCTTGTGGTTTAGTGTGTGACGAAATCTCAGCACGGATACAGAAGGCTCGACTAGCTTTTGCCAACTTGCGTCATTTATGGAGTAGGCGAAATATCCGTCTATCAACCAAAGGACGTGTTTTTATTGCACAGCAGTCCGTTCCATCCTACTTTATCGCTGTGAAACATGGCCGGTAAGAGTAGAGGATATCCGTAGGTTACTAGTATTTGATCATAGGTATCTTCGAAACATTGCTCGTATATCCTGGGACCATCGAGTAAGTAACACAGTTGTTAGGAAACGGGTACTAGGTAAGGATGGCAAATCAATTGATGACGTAGTGAAACTTCATCAGTTGAGATAGCTGGGACACGTGTTACGTATGCCCAACGAATGACTGCCTCGACGTGCTATGTTCAGTGGTATAGGAGTAGGTTGGAAGAAAGCTAGGGGCGGTCAGACCAAAACATGGCACAAGTCCATGAAGTCACTGACAAGTGAACTGAGTCATGTTGGTAGGTGTAAACTACCTGGTTGGGGACCGCGAGATGATAGCAACCGATGGTTAGAGACCCTGAATGACATGGCTCAAAATCGTTTGCAATGGCGCAGGTGCATCTACTCTCTGTGTTCTCCCAAATTCTAATATTCTGAATTCTTCATGTCACTTTTTTCCTCTTTCCAAATTTATTTCACTGTATTATACTCTTTAAATAACATCTCCAAACACTAATTTTCCTGATTACTGCTTATACTCTTATTACCTCTACCACTACGGGATTTGAATCGACAAGTGCATCTCTGTGCTAAGGTGGCGTGACAACTCGAACTGATGTACGTACGTACGAAGTTCTACGTTGTTACTGACTGAGTGAGTAGGAACGTGGTATTTTTGGCCAAGTTGCTTATTTGTCTTATGCTTTTAAAATGATATGCCATTTGTTTTCGAAGTTTTCATTGTTGTTATGATCAATTAACCAAGAAGCAGTTCAGTTAAATTCTTATGATAACTCAGCTGACTGATACATAGCTTTAGTATTTTTAAACTGTACTATTATTAAGTTTGCTCTTAGTCCTTAATAGTTGTATAAATAAGAGAAGTCTGGTAATCTTAATAACAGTGAAAACATTGTGTGTATGAAACTTTTTTTCCTTCACACAGATGCCGTTTTCCCCCAACTTCACTGAATTCGCCGAATCTTGATTCCCTATGCGAAAGCTTGAAGTTTTTGTTCAATTCCCTAAGCAAAACTGAAAAACCGGTTACTCCTCTGCTCTTCTTGACTTGTTTGCACAGTGTTTGTCCGCAGTTCGCCTCACGTGCATCGTCTTCTGATGCAAGTAAATCCGCTCCAGGTGCTCTATCTATGATTACTCATGGCTTCGAACAACAAGATGCTAGTGAATGTTGGACAGAGCTAATCAGAGCATTACAAAGTAGCAAGATTGATTCTCAAGTTTATGCGTCAACAGTGGTAACTTTTCTATGTTGTTCATATTTCATTACTTTTGAATATTTCGCTGCTGGTTTATAATCTTATAATAACCATACATTAAGACAACTTAATAACGGCTCGACAAGGGGTTTTCATTATTCGTTACCAAGCACAAACTTAATTATATTGTATCTGCTGCAGTTTGAAAATGTATAGGGTTCATTGTAAAAGCAGTGGAAAGCTGTATGGGTTAGAATAAAGTATTTTCAAAAGTCATCAAATCAATACCTTACGGGGACTGACTTCACAAATCGTGCCCTTTACAACAATAAATGTTCCTATAGATGATATTCTATGATAACCTCAGGTTCACAAAATATTCACACTTCTTTCTATGTTTAAAATTTAGAATTTGCCTCAAAGTTTTCGTACAACATCCCAATGGAATCCTGTAGAAAGATTTCTTACTGGTCAGTTATCTTGCAAACTTACATGTACTGAATCAGATGAACCCGAGACAGATAGTCTAGAGACGTTTACTCAACTTTCTTGCTTCATGCATCAAGGTAAGATTTTAATTATCGTCATTAAATTGAATCTTTTCAGTACATAAAATTTATTTTATTTTATACAATGCTTAGTGTCTGGTAGCACGCTTAAAACCAGTATGTTCAGTTTTCTAAGTTAAAAGTCAATTATGTTACCGTACTTTATATTTATGTCTCGTATAAATTCTGGTATAATTGAGTACCAAAACTATCACTGATAAAAGGATAATAATAATAAATATTGAAGAGAAGGTTCCACGTTTTCCATCAAAAACAACCACACCAGTACTCAACACTGCCAGTTTAACGCTTTTCAACCTGTTTAAATCTAAATCAAAAATTACTAGTTTCATTGTCTAAGCTAATGCTGTTTAGTAACTAAATCATCTTACTAATTACGTTAAACGAGGCTAAATTAATGGGATTATGCTGAGTAAGATTCATTACATATATGATTTGTTAAATAGACGTGATGAGTAACTTACTAGGCTTAAGCTTATGATATTTATTCCAAACATTTCCAGTGAAATTGTTTCCTGAAATGGTACTCATTTGTCCGCTTGTAAACATGAAGGTAGTTGTTAACTGTCTAGAATTTTGCATGATAGTAGATATGTTTAGAAGAGGTACCAGGTGCTGTTTCGCGATTGCTAAATCTGCTATGTGCATGTTGAAGTGGTTAAGTGATGATGTCGAAGCTCCTATTAATTTTCCTATGTATGAATGATTCTTAACGCCAAATCTATTTGATTCCCATCAAAATAGATTGCTTTGATTTATATAATATTATTTGTTAATTACTGCAGATGTAAAATATTTGCTCACTGGTATTCGAAATGGATTAACGGGAAATCTAACTAAGCATTCATCTTTGCTGGATCGAAATGCAGTTTATAAACGTCTATCTCTTATCAGTCGGCTTCCAGCTTACTTATGTATTCATTTTGTTCGCTTCTTCTACAAGGAAGATAAACAGATTAATGCTAAGGTACGTCAGTAAGTGTATTGTTATAATGGCTATAAATGTCCAGTTTATGTATAAATTACAACTTTAAAGGAAAACGAATAATTACTGTTGCCAGTCCGAAATGTTCCTGCTTGGAGATAACTAACAGTCATGTTCGTAGAAAATACTCGGAGATCCTCTCTAAATTATCCCGTTGTATTAGCTGCAAATTCTGATTATTGTGTTACGTATATTTCAGCTTTGTGGTTCGTCAATTTAAACTAACTACATTTTTTATAATAAAAGTTGTTGATCTCAAAAGACAGTTTTCGTATAAAATTGTCGCTTATGAAAATCCTTGTGATGCAAAGTAAAAGGTCTGAGGAGCGTCGTTGGTACATTTTTACTAAAAGATGTATCTCGTAGTTCCAAATGATCAATCTTTATTCTGAAGGTCGTAAAGCTTTTAAAAAATTCGTGATACTATTATGCGTATTATTTTATAGATTTTAAAGGATGTAAAATTTCCACTAACATTGGATATGCACGAATTTTGTACGCCTGAGTTGCAGCAGAAATTACTACCCATGCGTGAAAAACAGCGCCTCAAAGAAGATGAAGTGGTTAATCCCTCAAGTCAAACAAATACTTTCAAAAGTAAACCAGGTTTGTATTACTGATGAGTGGTTATGTAACGTAATTTTAAACGTTGTTTTAACGTTACGTTATTTTTGGGTTTTATTATTTATAGACAATAAAAGCAAGTAAGTTTTTTTTAAGACTTTCGAAGTTCGAAAAAGTAGCAACGGTCATCGTTCATAGAGCATATACTAAATCCGACTGACAAAGCCATCACTTAGTTATTTTTAGGGTAAGTATAATATTTGTTGCGACTACACTGAATGTTTTCCAGTGAACGCTGTCTACATGACAAGTGAAACAAAACGGTAAAATTTCCAACAATGATATGTTGACTAAATTTAATACTTTTCAGAAACAATACTCCAAGTGTGATCAACACTAAGACAGATATAAACGATGACAGTCGGCAAATAATAATGATAGGGTGATGTTCTTAGAACATATCCGAGTCTTCGAACTCAGTATATCAAGATGACGACCAATATTAAAATATGGTGAGATACATTCCTGAACCTTGTAATTAACAACATGGTTTATCTATAGGGTCAGGACAACTAAACAGCGACCGGAAATTTAGTTTATCAGGCGTCCTAGTTTTACAACCGGAGGTCAGAACTATTTTTGGTGATTGCAATTGCCAGATAAATATTACGAATGCCATAAGTTAACTAAAAGTGGGTTTAGCCAAATGTTCCACCTGTGATGATTTCAAATATTTACGGATATGTTCATATTCACGTAAACTAATTCATTGATACATTTCTTCCAGATTATGTACGACCTGATCCATTCCAAAATCCTGACTTGTACGAACCTTACTTTTTCGCTGATGATCCCGGTTCGAATAACTCTGGGTACTACGATCTTCAAGGTGTTTTGAGCCACCAAGGTAGGACAAGTACAAGTGGGCATTATGTTGCTTGGGTGAAAAAACAAGGTATGCTTTACGAGGTATAAACATGTAATAAGTATTTCATATTTCAAAATCTTTTCATAAAGACAGGTAGACTAAACGAAAAATGAATTTAGATCAGCAAGAAACGTTGCACACAAGATATCCAGACAGCAAAATGGCCACTAATATTCAAACCACTTTCAAGGTTGTTACAAACAATACCTAATCATCAGTCTTCTATGATTTTCATTTAATTACACCCCTCAATTAGTGTAAGCATAAACTGGAATCTAGCACGTCATACCTAACATTTTAGATCTCATGAACCCTTGTATCTGTACTATTCCTTGTCATTCTAGACTAGCTAGACATTTATTCTAGAAAAAACTACAATTTTTTGGCAAAACATTCGAACTCCTCAGTAAAAGTTTCGATACTCATTAAGCATATGTTAAACCTAGTTCTAATACATTTTGAAGGAATGACACCATATAATTCATTGTCTCTTTAAGCTCATAGAGAACAGAGTATTAAAGAATCTTGATTATTATCAGCCGCAAACATATTCTAAACATCATATACATTTCCCTTAGCAGAATGTTGGGCTTTTGTTTGAATGACACTTTTCAAAAACCTTTATGCACTCTACATGATTCATTGTAGAAAAAATAATTTGGTGTCACTATAAGCAGCTGTTTGTCAAGCAAGTTCATATTAAACTGCAAATAAAAAACAACTACCATTTTGCTCCTAAAATTCATGTTCCACTTTTTATTCATTTTAATCACTATGTAGGAATGTGGTTTAAATTTGATGACGATCGTGTCAGCCAAGTGACCTCAGAAGATATTTTGCGCTTATCTGGAGGGGGTGATTGGCATTGTGCATATATTCTGTTATATGGGCCTCATTTCATAGAGAAGAATGCATGTAAGGATCCTTCTGGGAGTACCGTATGAAGTTCATAAATGCACAGCCTAGAAAAATTGACAATTTCTGTTGAATAAACCCGTTTTTTAAACCTGAAATTTTTATAAAACGCCGTTCGTTATGAACGTTTGTCATTATTTTCTTTCCATGAAATTGTGATAATTTGTCTTATAAAATCGCCGTGTTTGCTAGTTGTTAATGTTTTTCAGCTCTTATAACCATCCAGACTTCTGAGCGACTCATTTAACTGCGAAATTGCTTTTCTTGATTCAGCATTGTTTGTGTGGTCAGAAATTTGGCAAATAAAATATGCTGTTGGGCTTTCATTATTGTTTGTTTATCGACTGGTATAAGAAATGATGTGTCTGATTATAGAATATTCGACATCGAATTAATCACCACTGAGCTATGTGATAAATAATCAGCGAACATGTACTGTCATTTAAAATTTAGTCGAAATGCACAAATCTTCAAATAAGCATAATTGTGAGCAAAAGAATTCGCTAAGCATTAGGTTTTGTCATCCAAAAATGTTTCGAGCGGTGCATTATACGCTTATAAATATTATACTTTGAAAAGCAATATTCACCTTTCGGTCAGATGCTTCCACGTCTTAATGTACACAAACCTGCATAAGTCTAACATCTGTACGAGAAGAAACTGGCAGTTAACCTGGTCTCAGATGAAATTATAAAAGCAGTTTATTTATTTTAAATTGTATATAACTATTTGAAAAGTGCAAGATCCACGATTTTGTCAACTGCTAGCTAACTTTGCAATGAAGATAAACTTCATTATCACTTAAATTCAACAGGGAAGCTGTTCCGAAAATGTTTTCTGTATTCCACTTGATTGATTTGATGAGTGGTACTAATTCTTTCATACGCCGAGTTTAGACAAATTGGTTTCTAAAAGTTTAACCGTCTGAGTCGAGATTCTTATCATCTGGCCACAAGGATGTTGCTAATTATCCATTCTTCTTGATAGATAGTCTGACTTCCCTTAGCTATCTTTGTCAAATGGTACACAAGGTTTCATGTAAAAAACCCAAAATTGGTCAAGTTAGTTTTTGTATTTGTAACCTATTATTATAATCACAGTGAAATGAAAGAGTTAAACTATACAATAATCAATAATAAAGTGAGCCATAAAATTTGGAAAGTCAATATAAAATTTCATTTTTGACAGGTCATTACACTATGTACAATTGTTTGGTCTCCGAATGTGTCAGGTTATTTTTAGAAATAAACTAGATTTAGCTTCAAAAAATAACTACAAACGTACAGTTTCTATAACGAAGTGAGCGGCAGTCGCTGAATTATTTTGCACGATGCGGAAGATAGGCATCTATGGTTTGTGATATCTATAAAAATACAAATGAGGATTGTTTATATAATGGATAAACTACGGTAGTTATCGTAACGTAAAACAAATGTTAGTTTAAATTACCAACCGTTTATACACATTCTGTATTAAGTATAAACCTCAATATGTAATGGTGGACTATTGGTAAAAAGGGAATCGACATAAAAGATTTAGGGAATCTTGAGGGAGTTCGAATCAGGTTTAGAAGACAAACACAAGTTAAAATAAGTAGCTCATCAGATCGTAACTCATGCACGATCAGAAGATATCTTTTTTGGTTTGCTTTGAGAAAAGATTCGCAAGTAGATTGCACATCACTTTAATCGAGGTGTTAAACTCTTCTGGCATTCGTGTTTACACAACTTTTATTACAGGCATTGATGTCTGCATTATGGTTTTAAAAATATCTCTTATCTTTGCGTGAGTTCATGCTCATCTCTATTGTAGTTACTCATCTTAATATAAATACGTCAAAACAAAACTGCTAGATTTGTGTTTATCAGATTACACAGTGGCGTGTGTACCGTAGTTACAATCTTGCCTAGCTAACAACTATATTTCTTAGCTGCTATGAATGAACGGAAGCCACTATTATTCATATGTATGGGAACACCAAATCATTGGATCTGTGTTGGTGCAATGGTAGCTAAAATTGATGGAAATATATTACAAAACAGAATAAGATTTGCTAGCAAATTAATACTCACCGAGTGTGATGTCGACTATCAGCATGAACATCCATTTCAGTTGCTTTGAATTCGTTTAATTCTTTTCTAATATCAGCCTAGAAATAATGTTTAGACGGTTATATCATATTATTGATTTTACATTTACGGTTATGAAACGACTCCTAATTTGTTATTTGATAAAAGGATATCCACCAAAATGTACTTTCTAGCTCTACAGCTTGCAAAGTTTTTCGATAAGTTTGGTTGTGTCTCTCATTCCGATATAAGAATGTCGTGAGTGTTAAAGCGAAATGTTAATCGTTGCTACTAGGTACGTATAATAGTGAAGAACACTATTAAATCTAACAGTTTGTAGTATCTGAAATGTATACATAAGGTTAAACTACAAGTACTTTTTCGAGTTATAACTGACGAACAAAGCATAGAACGGAGTGAGTTTTAGCCTGAGTGAATATATGTTGACAGTTTATGATTTTTTCGCATATGTCAGCATGATACGTTTCGTTCACTTCACTAACCACCATATGAGATTTGATAATTTTTTTATAATTGCTATAAAATAGCACGAAAATATTCTCTTACAGAATTCCATTATCTAAATTTTGTTATAATATGTAAATGAATAAGTTCTGAAACCTTTCAGTAATAAGGGATTAGTAACCCATTTAATCGCAATCTAGAAGTGTTAGCGTATATTGTTTAGGAAATAAGGTATATTGTGTTGTTGCTAAGGGTTTGGTGGCAAGAATTAAAAAAAGTAGTGTTAGCTGCTACTTTATCTATTAGTAAAACTACCGATTCACCCTTGATTTGAATAAATAATAAGTGAATTAACAGTGTACGTAGCATGAAGTTTTGTAATGAAAATAAACGTTCACTGTATTGTAATTCGTTGGTTCGACGAGATCGCTTACCATTTGCAGCATGAAAACACATGATTATAGTAAAGATGCATTTAGAAAATATTAATGGTTAGCTTGCTCCAGATAAAAATTGTAGGAACTTACTTTATCACGTAGAGTTAGACGAGTCCATGGTTTATCAGCTCGACGATCATAGGCATCTGCTTCACTAACTTCAACATAATCATTAAAACGAATAATTTTACGTCGACGCAGCTCTTCAACAGTTGGTCGAAATGATAGCTGAAAACGAAATTTTTAGTCGTAATTAGAAGAAAATTACCTATAGCTAATACGTTCATCATACAGATCGGTCAGGCTCGGACAGTAGTAGTATATCACTCGTGTCTTTTATCTATCACACAAAATTTTCATCAAACAATGTCGCATAACAAGAAGCAAGCTACACTTGATGTTTGCAATTGCTAATGAAAATTTATACGCAAATCGCTCCGAGCAAGACTCATACCTCTGATCATCCATTGTAACTAAATCACGGTTAAAAACGTCATGAAAGTATGAAACAATTTTAAAGAAAATGTTCCTGTGACAATGAAAAAGAATGATTTGAATGCTCGAGCCTGCAGAGGTAGACCTTAAAAACAACACGACGTCGCTTGCTCCATGGATTCTCAGAACTAAGGTTTGGAAAATATGTAGATGACAAAAATACTATGTAATTAACGGTATGTTAATGGCTCCAAGCAGCATTCTTATATGTCATATACTCACTTTACGGTCAATCTCAATCAAAAGCCAAATACTCAGGAATAATATTTATACCAGGTAATTTTAGTATACAACTAGATGACTTGTAAGGTTGAAAGATACAGGTCGGGAATTCGGTGTAAAAGTTCAGCAGACAGTGACAGTCAGTTATATCAAAAGAACCTTTCATCCTAAAAAGCACCGATTTCACACACACACGCGATGGGAAAATTTGGATATAGGAAAATATCAAGCATTTGTTTCTTCTGCTAAATAAACATTACTTGAAGACTGATATTTATAGATCTCGAATTTAAGAGACAAGAGTTCGACCAAGATTACTTAATGACTATTCCTCCACATCCAACCTACTATCTGAAGTTCAATATTGGGATGAAGAATTACGTATGACTTACATTAAAGTCTGTGCGGTCATCCTGTCATCAATATTTTACAGATGCAATAAAATAATCGTTATCAAAAAACATCATTGCTAATTAGGTATCGTAGCTTTTATTATAAGGTGCACAAAAATAGTAATAAAAATCACATGGTAGATTAAAGATATATATGACATATTGAGTTGATAATTCAGTGAATTTTACGCACATGACTTCATACACTGAGTGCATGTAAATGACCTAGTGTTTAAATGTAAGATAATTATACGAAATTAACATGTCAAGAAGTCATTGAAATAAAAAATTACTTTAAGTTGAAATTTTTGTTGTGAAACATACAAGGCTGACAAATGTTGATAAATTACACTCGTTTTCTAGAAGTTACGTGCAATAATTGCCGACTAGTTACCTATGACTGAAATAAGTGTAAGCGAAGTCTGAGTACGTTTTTTTTTAATAAATTAGGTTTTGTTTCCAGTAACAAACTAGTCAACAAGAAACAATTTAATGATGGACGGACATTAATATTCTACTTTTGAAGCATCCTATGGACTGAATACAAAACAGTCAGTTTACTTCATTAGTTAACTAGTTTAATTCCGCTGAGGAAGTACTTAGGAAAGCTAATTGATTGGTGAGGAAGTGAAACATTAATGACTGAGATAGTTAGGACATGTATTACGCATGGCTATTCTCAGTGTGCCGCCATGGCTGTTGTTAGAGTAGGTTGTAAGTTTGCTGGGGGTAGCCAAACCAAGCCATAGGTCCAATTCATGAAGATACTGACTGTTGGACTGAACAGCGTAGGTAGGTTCAAACTACGTAGTAGGGGTTCATGTGATTATCGTAACTAATAGTGACATGGCTGAAATCGCAATGGCGCAAGTGAATTCAATCTTTGTCGAACATAGTTTTATGATCATTTATTTACCAGAGGCAAATAATAAAGAAATTTGATATTGGCAGTTTAGGATAACACGTATATGAAGTTAGAGTTATCAGATATTTACAAATTATCTTAAATTGAACAATGGGAACAAACTATGGGATAATGACACTAAAAAGTTAGAATATTCAAAAACTGAGCCGAGTCCTATTTATAATTCACTTAGCAAAATTATATTAGGGACTGCAAGTCAGATGATAATATAGTTGTTTTTTATCGAGAAGCATTAAAAAGGAGAGACTACAATATTATCACCTACTGTAAGAAGAACAGAGGTTAAGGGGTTTATTTGTACTTAAACACTATAATAAGCCGGTTCTTTGTTTGAAATATGAATCTGAACAGAGAGTACCTAATAGTTTCACATGAGATTACTAAACAAATTAATATTTTTATTACTATGACTGAAAATAAATGCTTTCGACTTGTCACAAACACCTAAACTTGAACACATATAAACACGTCTAATATGAACTTTTGTCAAATGACGCAAAAATGAGTAAGATTCTTAGTTTTAAAATCATTCTATCCAATTCAATTACAAACAAAAAGTTCTAGGATTCGAAAAAACAATACATATATATAGAATTAATATTTTGTTACTTTGTGGACACTTAAGAGAATTTAGAGAAGGAAAGGACATCTTTTTTTCACAGAAGAGAGAAGTGAACAAATATTTCTGATAAACCATTGACAAAATGTATTAACTTCATATCAACTAAACTAGATAAATTAACGTGGAATATATATCCAGCAGAAAGACGAAACATTTTATAATTACCTGTCAAATAATAAGAATTATTTTATATTCGATTGCAATAAAAAATAGTTTCATTAATGTTATACTTGTGTTTAGATAAATTAGTTAACAAATACAAACAGAAAAAATACTTAAAGTATTAAATGCAACGTGTAAAGCATATATGTCACCTAAAGTTGGAATTATACAGAAAGCAAGCAGTTGTATTAATGTAATTTATACCAGTTACCTAAATATAATGCGTTATTATTAAGGGGTGATGAGGTCGAGGATAATTTAGGAATGAATTTTGTAGTAGTCATATGGAAAAGATTTCAACGACCAAGTATTGATAAAATGATAAATTAGATTGTTTTTGTAACCACATAATATTCTTATTAAACAAGTATCAATACTAAGGTTGGACATAATAGTTTCGAATAAATTGAACATTGGCTAGCGAGTTAATAATAAATATATTTTTGTTATATCTCAATGAGTAGTTAAATTGTATTTCTGACGTTCAGTGACTTAATGTAAGATATTTCGTCAGAAGCAATTAACACGAGTTCAAAGCGTGTTTTAATTTAATGTCGGCTATTTATTAACTCTGAAGAAGTAGCTTAGATAAAGCCACGAAACGTTAGAAGTACAATTTTTCTACTTATCGGGATATAACAAAAATATATTTATAATACTTGTTAAACATTGAAGAGAAGTGGGTAGAAAGTTGTATAACAGGGTATCGGACAGTGAGAATATAAATTCTATGCAAAGGTGTTGAATCGAATTTTAAAACAACTTATTCTGAAGAAACAATGCATTAAAAGATTAGAGCACTTTTACTAGCAATTCTATGAGCTGATTAAGCAGCCATTTTTCATTGAACTTACAGACATACACGTATCTCTTTTTTACTTTGTGTCCGGATTATTGTTATTCTTTATAAGCAAGAAAATTTAACACAACATAACTGACAAGTATGTATTTAAATAAAAGTAATTCAGTGAAGAAAATTCTCTTTTTTAAATTCTATCACTTTTTCAGATTGCCTACAACAGAACAAGTCAGGAGGGGTCAAGTGATGATTTCATCACAACTCGATCAGTTCGTCCACAGAAAGCATTATTAAATCTAAATTGTACGTAGAGAGTACATTTCAGAAGTAGCTTTCCTTGCTAGTATCACGGGGAAGCAAATATCAAGGTTGTTTTTCTCGTTATAGTCATACAAAAACATATGGTCTCCACAAAATAAACATGTAGAGAGTGAAAAAACTTGGATGAATCCATAGTGTTGCATACAATGGTATCACATCTGAAGGGTTGAAAGATTTATGCTAACCCCTCAGTAATTAATAATTGGTAAGAAAAGTTATTCATTTTCATGGGAAATAAAAGAAAATTCTTAAAAAATTTGGAAGGATTTTCGTAGAGTTCGAAGTTGATGACAGAGTCATCTTTCAAGAGGCTCCTTCAGAGAATTTGTCAGCATCTGATAAAATGGAAAATCTGCCCGGAGATATCTAGAGTTACTACCAGTAACGAGCTCGGTTAAACGAAAAATGATGGATACAGTGTTATCAACAATACCTCGTCAAAAAACGCAAACAAGAAGAAATCATCTAAACCCTTTAAACTCTGCCCTGTGAAGAAAAGGGTTTCGTCACACAGAAAATTTATGATGTGTCATGATGAAAGTCAAGATTCTTCGGGAACCACAAAACTGATGAGCATTCTGACAACCGAAGCAACAACCTCTGTAGGTACGTGGAATGTTCAAATAACCGCCGACATGAGTGCAAACTTACTCTGCTTCAAATAAATGAAACCCATTAAATACAACATGGACAGATAAGACTGACTTCGGCAGAGGTGTTATTATATTCCGATTACGGAGAAAATGCCGTAGACAAAGATTTGCTTTGACGCTGTCCAAAGAAGCACGAAAAGCACTCCTGGATGGAAAATTCAAGCAACCTTTAAGACGAAGAAGTTAGGGATCATAATGCATGTAGTTAAGTACTGCACCCACCAACAATATCATCTAAGATTATAACGACCGCTTTTCCCCGTCATTACAGTTGATTGTGGAGAAATAATCAGGAAAACCCTGATCATCTTGATAAAGGGACTAAATACGAGCAGTCTCTTATCTTCAAAAGACTTAACACCCCTTGAAGGACACTTTTTTTTACATGACATCTTACTTATGAACATGTAATCAGATGTTATTACCCTCTTAAAATTCTTCATAATTATTATTCAACTATTGATATTACCTCTATGTCCTTCCTTTTTTCCTCATATCTATCTCCCATATTTTTGTTCTGCTAATTATTCTCGTCTTGCTATGTTCCTTTAACATATAGATCATTACACAACCTTCATTTGACACTTACAAACCGCCAAACACTGTGATAAATGTTTTTTATTTTTTCTGCAGATGCATACATTTATTAATTCACTGCGATTGCATAGCCTTAGTACATGATATTGTCGAAAAGAGAATTATCTTCGCAGAAATACCTTTATACTTTCTTCAATGACACAATGGGTTTCTTTTGTTATTTGAATATATATATATATATATATATATATATATATATTTGTCTGATCATCAACTTGTATTTTTTCTATAAAACATTAACATTGGTAATAGACAGAGATTAACTTCAATGAAATTGGATTGACACAGTAAATAAATATTGTATTTCTATTTTACAACAAGAGAAACTGATATGTTCTAAAACGTTAAGATAAGCTGTGAGGGTTATCGTTTATATTAATGTCTTTTGTATTTTTTCCTGTGACGCTGTTAAAAATTCTCTTTTAATTTACCATTTTCCTTCAAACGTAAACCTAATAACTTAGATTGAAACATATGCACGTACAATTAATAATGAATCAAACAAATAACAATGATAATAATTGTTTATTCGCAAGATTATCTATCCTTTGATTGGAAGATGTAAGAGAACTACGTGTCGTATGACTTACTGTGATAAAAAATCAATCCTGTATAATTGCGTCAGATGACTGTGATATGTTCTTCCTTACTGAGAGAAAGAAAATTCACGAGATAAGAGAATGATGATGATAGTAGAATTGGTAATGTGTGTAATGTATCAATTCTATTCATTTAAATTTAGGTTGATATCGAATGATGATTATTTATCAAAGAGAAACAATTCCAACTGTACTGCGAACAGTGCTTTCGTAATACGACTCAACTATTCCATATGACCTTAAACTGATCAAAATATTTTTTAACTTATTCAGGGATTGATATTATACATGTTTGGCATCTATGGATACCAGTAAGTTCAACTTTCAGTATGGACTATGCATAGAGAATGATGTTGGTTGGGATAAAAATGGATAAATTTCTTGATTTTTAGTATTGATAGACATAGTTTGCTTTAGAAGAAAAACAAAGACAAATAAGCGAAGAATATTTTATTTTTGATGTCACAATGGATTACTTCAACTATAGAATCTTTCATAAAATGTAATGCAGGCGCTTTATTAGATAGATTCCTATGCCATGATTTTCGTGACAACACTAGTTCCTTAATTTTTCTATTCACTTTACATCCCGAAAGCTAATAAATGCAATTCGGAATCAGAAATATATAAGCCCACCTGACATAAATATTTAAAAATGTTTTATGGAGAATAGTGTCTTTTGTGAAGAAATCTACTTCAGTCAACAACTACGATACTCCTGTAGTTCGGTTTTGTTGTTATTGTTTATTTATCTCAAGTAACTTGCCTTTATACGAAATAGTACCAGTGGTAAATAGGTAATAGATCAGAACCACTTATAATGATCAGAAACTGCTTTTTATTAACTATGCAACCACGAAAAACATTGAAAAAAGTACTGAAGTCGTCTAATCTAGCTCAAGTTATTTGTAATCAAGACAGAACCTTTTCGTCCATTTTAAATAACCGTATTTTGTTTCCTACGAAGACTACAAATACAGTTTCTACTATTTCAACACTAGTTTTATATCTGGTCATAATAAGCTATTCTATATAAGCAAACATTTCGCACCTTTCGTTTATTCAAATAAAAAATCGAGTTAGGTTCAAAGCAAACTAGCAACACATATAAGAAGGATAGATGATCATTGGTTGTTTTTGCATGACACCATGAAAATGGTGAGTTAGGGTATTTTCGGCTTTACAAGTGCTCCACTTTTAAGCGCTAGGTTTCTGCAGGTTCCTAACAACTCCTTGGGACCAGCGTTACTGGAGCCACCGAACATCGGAAGAGCACACACAAAACTACACATAAATGTTACACTAGCGACAGTCGGAGAAATTAGCAAGGAAATCAGACAAACCGAGTAAGGAATAGAGGAGGACGAAAAAGCAATCTAGCTGAAGCACTGCATTTAGATTTAGAGGTAACTGCAAGGACATTTCACATACTTTTTCAGAAGGATTTGGTAGGAAAAACAATACCAACAGACTGGGAATAGGGATATCTCAGCAAGATTTCAAAGAAAGGTTTCAGTAAATGTGAAATAAATACAGGTGCTATCATCAGTACCTGACAAAGTTCTCGACAGATTGTAGGTATATCGAACAAAAAACTAAGTAAATGTCAAAAGTCGAGATCGACAATCTGAGTTTTGTAAGGAAAGTCTAGTACAGAGCTGGTCGTAGATACCTCATCAGAAATCTATGACCCAGGAACAACAGTAGGGTTAAAATTTACTATAAATCATTTTAAAAATTTACTCATCCACGAGGTACTTTGGTATGAGCCAAACTCTAAATATGAGGGTCAATTAAACCACTCAGTTGCCCAAACCAAAGTAGATGGAGGTGGGTTCGAAGCTGAATGTTAAATGCCTTAATCACTAAGCCACTGCGGAAAGTACTTATTGTCTATGAATGCTAGAGCAATTTCGTTTTCATGACGGATTGTAAAATGAAAATTTCTTATGATCAAATAATAACGGTGGAGATATACTTAGTTAACAAGCACTCGAAAATAGGACTATATATAACTGTATACCAAGAATTACATGATGACAAACGGAGGATGCCATGATTCGAGTCTTCAAAAAGCACTCGTATAAGCATAATTCAGAAACATGAGCATTTAGCTAAATTATTTTGATGGGGTTTTTTCTCTGAGTTGGTTGGTTTGGTCGTGGAGATTCCATCGTTCTTCTGAACGACATCATTAGCACAAAATTGAGGTAGAAGTGAAGTGTTCGAATTCCTCCACATGTGGCTCACAGCTTTACATCCACCTAAGCTACAGATCTTCTCCACCATCTCAGCTAAATTATTTTTGTCTTACATTCATTTCAGTCAAAGTCTCCAAGGGGTCAAACACTAAAACAAAATGAATCGAACCAACATACAAATCTCACTAAGTGTCAGGAACAAATTTTACGAGAAATTTTGTCTAAATTTTAACAAATAGTTAGGCTCTGAGTTTATGAAAGATGTTAAGAAGGAAATTATACTTGTGAACAATCTGAGTGGTTGAAATTCTAATATGGACCCAATGTTTCTCTCGGTTGTCCAATCCAAGTTTCTTCAGTAGGAATAATCAAACATCAAAATTATCGAATATAAATGTTTTGTTCACAAACTGACTTTGAATTAAAAGAATTGTTCAATTACTAAGTTCATCAGATGGGTCGGATCCGCTGGCCTCAAACAACTTTTTGAAAATTAATATATTCCGAAAGCCAATACCTAGATTGCAGGTCACCATATGCCCTATCCACTAAGGTGAATTTCTAAGAATCTGCGACTCGTCACAGAACTGGAAGACGGATAAGCTGAGTAATATTTGGATTTTTCTACTTTGATGATGAATAATTATCCTATTGACTTTATAAGTAGAATTATTAATATATTAGGAAATATAAGCAAAAAAGAATGCATTAAAGTGGTGATGGTCCCAAATCTCAAAGGAACTTGGGCAGAAATCAGAAGAATCCTGAATTATCACAATATAAGAGCATTTTTCCGAAGGAACAGTACTCTTAACTGTACACCAGCAAGTCAAAAACACAATATTAAGAGAAGAACAATTGTATTGTGTCTATGCGGTCAAATTTAATGACTAATGCTACATATATAGGTAAAACATCACAGCAGGTGAGTGTGAGAATGACGGGATACGGACTTTGCTTGAAGCATATTCCTAAATCCTTAGAACTTTAAAAACTTGAAAGCATTTAAGATGATAGCACTACATTCAACAGAATCTGAACATACGGTTGACTTCAATGGGACAAGAGTCCTTTACAAAGCTTTTGGTTAGTATAAAGAAAGTTTGACAACTGCGTATAAACGGAACCTCAAATGATATGAATAGAAGAGATGGAAAACAATTATCTGTACCACGGCAACTCGTAACTACCAAATAGATCTGAATTTGATCTAACTGTTGCTAATTCGTTTCATGTTTTGCAGACAACAACGGTATACTTTCATTTGTTCCAATCAGTTAATATGTTTGGATATAAAATGAACGACCAGCTCGTTCAGCATAATATCACAAACCTACATGAAATTATTATGAAAAGTTTAGTTGATTACAATATCTGTTAGATTGTTTAATTATATCAACGATCATAGGATAAGGCCATATATGGTTAATAATTTTTTTCTCACGTCAAATTTACGTACATACACATATACTACTTATCTTACCGAAATTTCTCTATAATTCACACCACATGAATGATACTTATACTGCAACAAACTCTCAGTATTATTAACAATGCTTAGACAATTTGTTTAGTACAAAATCAATTTGTAAACGCAATGTTTATATTCGATAATTTTGTACTAAACAAATTGTCTAAGCATTGTTAATAATACTGAAGAAAGATTAGACAGCTGAAAGAAACATTGGGTCCATATTTGAACTTCAACTGCTGAAATTGTTTACAAATATAACTTCCTTTCTAATGTTCATCAAGAAGAAATTTCAAAGTTCTGTAACAATATAAACAATATTTAGATTATAACAAGAATTCGATAGTCAAAAACCATTGTATGGGATACTCTTTCATACTAGAAAACATTCGACAAAAATATACAAGTAGGGTTTACCTTGCGAGTTAAAATTTGCTTTCGTTCTTCTTTAATCTTATTACGCACCTCTTCGGTGTCCACTGAAAGGCAAAGTAACAATTAACTTGGTCAGTGGAAGAGTAGTTAAGAAAACGAAAACATTTGTATGCATTCTTAATAACAGAATCCTTATTGAATAAACCGAATGTTTGCACAAACAAGTACATGAAAAGTCATGTTGATTGATTAGGATAAACATATTTAAAAGATAAAATTAGTGAGTATGTTTGAACATGTTACAGTAATGAAGACTAATTACTGACATAAACATAACATACCAAATGAGTGTAAATATATAAATAAATATTAAAGTATAAATATTCGCCTAAGAGTTCAGACTAAAAGACGAGATCTCCACTGAGTCATTTGATCTGTTTACTAGTCATAGTTGTCAAATTTCTAAACAGTAGCAACACATATTATTAATGAATGTTATCAAACTATGAAGTACAGAGGTTTTTCGAACACCAATAGTTGGGCATGATTTACGCCAACGCGCATCTTCAAGTTAGATCCAAAAAAAGTGACGAGTCCCGCACGGAGACGAAACGACTTTTCAACGCCCTCTGTTTTTCAATGTTTGTCTAGTTAGAGTCTCTCTCTCTCTCTCTCTATATATATATATATATATATATATATATATATCCTATAAAGCATGAAAGTTCCTGTAATCAAAGACACATGAAAATTACCATGAAGGATGTTTTTTTGTTTCAATTCATCAGTTGTAGGACGTTGATTAAGTCGACGCTCAAGTGACGCTTCAATATCAATCCGCAGTTCAGTACGTGCTTCTAAAGTGGTACTGGGAATTATATTTTTAGATATCAGGTCTTCACGACAAGGTCTACAGGCTAAAAAGCGATTGATGCGATCAGCTCGCTTTGTCCACATATCTTTATGCGCTTGACGAGCCTTGATAAGTGAAGTGATAGTTTGGCAAGGTGTAGATAAACTGTAAGCATCTTCTTCATCACTATCAGAATTGTAAAAAACAAAACGACAATCTTTGCCAAAAGGATAAGCACGGTTAGATAAATGTGAGTATTTCAATGTCTGACTAATAGTAGGTATGGTCTCAGCTGCTTTCGTATCGTTGGTTGGACTTGGTGATGACGATGATAAATGAGTAATTTTTGAAGTTGACAAGATTGGTGAGGGATTGAATGTAATAATTTTAACCGAATCCGAAGAACAAATACCATCAGTTTCACATTCAGCCACTTTATTACGATCAATAAGAGTCGCGCACGTTTCAGCGGTAGAATTTTCAGGTTTTGGGAATTTACCATCCTTTTGAAAAGAATGCATGAAAGATTGTGAGTTTTTTGAGCATTTACTGGGAGATCTGTACATACACAACATTGAGTTTGGACAATGTTTCATATTATTAGAGGAAACGTAAAGATCCGAAGCGGGTGAGTCGCAATGGAGATTGTCCGTAGAATCTGATGAAAATACAGACTTAGAATATGTCTCACCGTTCACAAGACGTCCTACCAAATACAAATCTGATTTAGATATGGGCACGACCATCATATTGCAAGCAGGGGACGAAGTCTTCACATTTCTCTTATTGTAACAAACTGCATTTATTCTAAAAGCGTACAAGACAGTAATGCAATGAATAATGTACAAAGTATTATTTAAAAGGTACTGAGATACGGAGTATCGTAAACGATGAAGCATTGATTTAGGATTCTCTATCACATGAAGGTTAAGATATAGTAGAAATATCCAGTTAATTTAAAAACTCACACTACTTCTGTCAAGTGCTTAGACATTTATGAATGATAGATAGATTACTATCCACAGAGTTCTAGAATTGGGCATCGAGGTGAGTGCGATATCGTAATCAACATGATTGCGCGAATGAAGGCTTCAAACACTTAGAAAATTCTCAGAGTGATGTTGATAAGGACGTCTTCCAGCATGGCAGAAAGCATTGCAAACCATAGGATAGTAAGCAGTTTTGAGATTCTGAATACTGAAGTCATATTATTCCACATGAAATAAAGCTGCTTTCATTAAAATGAAGTCATTGTGAAAGCGACAGAGTCTTGAGGTTTGAGTAACCTATGGATAACATATAGAGGTCAATACGATGGTTTAAATACCTGAAGTATTAAGTGAAAATTTAGTCCCGAGCATATAAAAAATCATATTGAAAACCTTTTAATAACTCTAACAACCATATGGAAGCAGTGCTGAACGTAAATTACACTGAGTTAAATACCTCATCATAACCTATTCACTTGAAAATTTTCAGCGTTCAAAGTACTAGACTTTCAACAAATAGGACACTGATTTAAAGGTTATTCCCCTTCATATCTAAATAGTACTGTATCTAAATCTCAGAAGAAACAGTAAAATCTGAATGCTGGTACATTCACCTAACGAGTTCCAAGTAAGACAAGATGTACATCCCGGCTTCAAATACGTAAGAAAAACAATTGAGATCATAAAGCGATCTGAGTTAGACCACCAATGAAAGCCTAGAAGCACCGGATGGCCATATCATCATAGCATGTTACTCCTTAGGGGTGAGCATTCACGATCCCACACGTGTAAATCGAACCCAACACCTTCGATTTTGCACGCGAACGCTTAACACATAGACCACTGAGCCGGTATTCAGTGGTGTAAAAGTCTAATTTCAACCGGTCACTGGCATCGCACGAATATCTTCCACTGTATAAGGTAGGTAACTACCTCACACCCGATACGGATTAGTTTCATCGGTCACGGCTTTTCACTAGAACTCCGGAAATTTCTTCTGACAGCTAGTCACTAGTAAGCACATTATGATATTCTGTATGGGGTTGTGAAGGTTATTGAATTTGATTGTTGGTGGTCTAACTAGGAACGGTTTATGATTTCAGTGACATTCAACAATATCCACAACCCCATACCGAAAATTTGTAAGAAAAATTTTAATTTATAAAAGACAAATTATAGTCTATCAAAACAAAATTACCATTATGTTTCAGGAAAAACCCAGTATAATTATGACAACAGCATATAAATCATAATGACTTCAAAATGATTGTAATGATTGAGAATATTACTTGAATAATATTAGTCTAATTTTTTTATGAAAACATATAAACGAGCATTTAACTTAGTTAAATATAAATTTACCATAATAAACAACCTAAAAAACTTGAAAAATAGTAATAAAACAGCTTAATTACTTGGATTTATTGATATTTGTTTGGTTAGATATTTCAGAAATGCGAGTTAAAACATTTCGGCTAACCGGTGTCAATTGAGGATAGGTTACTTGGTGACTTGTTATATATTTTTTTATTCTATTTAACTTTTTAAGAGGTTGAGATGATTGAGTCATTAAGCGTTGCTTGATACTCGAAGCTAATTCAGTAGTCTGCTCTCCGACATAAGTATTCAATTCACTCATAGGATTATCGGCTTCGGTGAAGTGGGATTGAGTTACAGAAGTCTGAATAACATATCATAATCGAACCAAAAATAGGGCTTACAGAATAACAAGGACTAACATGTGGTTCAAGATGAACTATTGGAATAGAGCATTTTTCTGGTTGGTAGTTGCTTTCAAGAGAACATGATTCTAGAAAAAAAAAAGGAAAAAGCACTCACATCGTATTATTCTACAGAATGTGATACACAACTAACAAGAACTTTTCACCGACGAGGAAACTTGATGATCATTTATTTGTTGTAAGTCAGTCACTGGGAACAAAAGTCCATAACAAACATCAACATGTAGATTCATGCAAAAGGTTGTGAACTTAATCTATTAGGTAAGGGTTACTGATACTTCGATATCTGAATAGATCGGTTTAGGAACCATGATCCAATGGTAGAAAGTTGATTAACTAGACATGTGAGTTGAAGATATCAAAATTAACAAGTGGGAGAAGATAACACAAAGATAATTATCATTATTAGGCCCACTCAACTTATAATAAATTTTAGGAAGGTTGTATAAAGTATCTCTGCTGAGGAAACCACTATTTATATAAAGTTTTTCACCAGAAAGAGAAGCTCCTAATCAAGAGATTAGTTAACACCTCTTGAAATAAACCCTTTAAAAAAAATACTTAGATCATTTTATTATGACAACTGAAAAGACGAAGTCATGCAAATTCTATTCACCAGAATCCTACATAATTCATCTTCAGCAGAGATTCAATCCAAAAACTTTTATGCATGTACAGCACATAAGTTGTAACAACTTATCAACAAAAAGCGACGTAATAATAGTGTAGTGAACGAGAACGCAAGTAGGGACAACCGAATGTATTTGAACACACAGTTACATAACATCTTAGTAAAATCTAAGAACGATACAGTAAATACTTAGTTTGCGAAATGTCAATCAATCGTCTCAGACTTCATTGTTTCTTCGCTTACACAGCAATTATTTTCTGTTCTTTTTCCTTTTTTCGCCGATCTTCTTAACCTTCTGCCGCCAGGCATTTCACTTTCGATTAATGATACATACTACTTATATCTGTCGACATCAGTAACACACATCACAATAGCATCAAGAGTACAAATATTATTACCAATATACCCAGTGTTATGATATAAAACTAATTGTAAAATCCAAGATTTTTTCATAAAAGGAAACTATGATTAGAAGGCAAAGCAGTACACTACAAATATATTTTTTCATATTAAATTATCAATGAACATGGGATAATACATTCAGCAAAAAAAGTTATTCGCTTGTAAAAGTGCACAATAAATCTACAGTTTAACTCATAAGTGAACCCAATATAATACAATAAATCGAGTGTTTTAAGTTATCCAGCATGAACCAAAAAAATGTATTTTCTTTAGATTGAATTTTAACTCACAATAACAATATATAAAAATTATTTTTTAAAAATCCGACTAATAATGATGAAGTAACCGATTAACTCAGCTCGAAGAAGATTGACCGATTTAAGAGCTGGGTTAAACTAGTACAAGTATCTTGGGCTTTTATCACGACCTTATAAGAAGACTAAAATTATACATACCACGCGGTTTTTTAGAACCGTAAACTGATTATGTTGATGCGATTCTTCGCGAGCAAATTAATTAGTTAACATATTTAGTCAACATGACGCTTTTCTAACGAAATGGCACATATGAAAAACAATACTGAAGACAGATTCTCATTATAGTATATTGAAAACAAATACGAAAAGATATTATATATATATATATTGCCCTAGGTGACTAAAAGGATGCACATTTGATTGAAATTAACTGACAAGAATATGTTGTCTGTATACCCTTATATTATGAATTTATGGTTATGATGAAAGAATTATTGTTTTTTGTCACACGTAAATCAACGACAGATGATGTGGAGTCACTTAACTTGATCACCTCACAGCATATTCCCAAGTGATTGTATTTGCACACAGTTTCACCAATAACATTTACTAGTTTAGTACAATTCTGTTAAGAAACTCTGGGACAAGAATTGTTTAATGGGACAAAACATACCCTATATGTCGAGGAATAAAGTGAATTAAGGCCTGTTAAGTAATCATTTTCGTCATAATTTGACACAGAATGAAGATATAACCAGAAACTTTTTAGTTGAACTGGAAGGATATCTAGTACTCACTTGGGACTCAAAGACTTTTAATTCTAAAGTTTCAAATAATCTATCAAACAAGCAAATTCGTACTTGATCACTGTATGATCAAGGCTGACTTTCATACTTCAATTATCACTTTAATCTATATAATAATCCTCAGTCAATGATTTCCGGATAATACATACAACGAAATTTACTAGAAACGAATTTCGGAAAGATATCGAAAGCTGAAAGCAAAGAAATTGTTTATCCGATTAGCCATTTCAAGAATCAGGGAGAAATGTCTTGTCGTTCAAAAAAGGAGAACATTCAGAACGAGAAGAAATAAAAGTCAGTATATTCATCAAGGTTTTTCATCTATGGGAGACGAATGTTTTCAGGATTTTGGGTAGGTTTTGTGATTTTAAACATATTCTAAGTATATTTGACAGAATCCTGAACTAAGACAGCTATTAAATTTAGAATAGGATAGATTCCCTAATACAGAGGCATGTCTTGTAATTTGTGTGGATTATACTTCACTTATATATTTATTAAAACTAATAAGGTTGCAAGTCAAAAGGGTGGTGAAAATTTAAAAAATAATGTTCTTCCTGAAACATCCTGCAGTTTCACAAACTAAGGGTTAAATAAAAATTGTATGATATTGAAACGTGATGTATTGAGTTGTGACGTCCGGGAGAAGTAAATTCGATCACCGGCTGAAGTGTTGCAGTTCAACTTTAACTATTAGCAGTTTGAAACCAAGAAACATTTGCAACTGCAGTAGGAGTAAAATATCTTATTCTTAGACACGTGAGAAAGCAGGATTTAAAGCAGATTAGGGTTATAACTTCGTGTAGCTGTATGTTTTTGAATAACTTACACAACATATTTCACTTTCACTTACTATACCAAAACTGTTTGATATTAAAAAATTAGTCATACAAGACAAAGTTTCGACATATTAATTAGACAAAATAATAATAGTACAAACACATACAATTAAAATAACAGCGATTCCGCTCAAGATGGGAACGCTTAATGTCATGACCTCTACTGTACGGAAACACGTCGCTTAACATCGATACTGCTTAAAAAGTATTATCATCGGATTCGAGTAGTCCTTTGTGGACAGAGATATTACAATAGAGGCGTTAAATATATTCAGCGGAAAGATTTCACGCGCCACAAGAATAAAGGAAAAATGATTGAACAAAAGAGCTGAACATCAATTGCGTGATATCCTTAGTGTGATGGGTACAAGAGGTCTGCATGCTAATTAATGACACCTACTTTCCCACACATTTTTCTAAATGTCGCTCATGTCCTTGAGAACAGACACAGTAAACCATGAGATTAGATATCTTGCGGTGTTTTAGGACTAAAGCTTGTTTGTGCACATCCGCCACAAAATGAACTAGGGTTCGTTGGCTGAGGAATTCGGTCGCAGTGGCTAAATGAGTGAGCTTGAAGTCATCCATACATCGTTTTTCACCTATTTGAGGACCTTCACTATGCCAAATTCAATTCAAAGTTTGGGTAAAGCTAAAATTATTGATACCAGTAATTTATATGAGCTAAAGTAACTCATAAAAATTGACCAAACTCAATTACTTATTAGTGCATTGTAAATCCAGCTAATGGTCAACTGGGCTTTCTAGTAAATCAACAACACTGAAAATAGCTCGATATAAAGCTTGGTTTCATCGCTTGATGAGGTCTTGGAAGACGGCCTTGAGACAATAGATTCACTTAACAACTTTAGCTAAAACTTCCTCTCATTTCATATTCATAATGTTGAGGATGGAAAGTCTCGTCTAAGATTGCTTTGATCACCAAGACACGGCACTTGTTTTAAAACTAGTTCCTTTTTCGAGTTTTATTCGATGTCTATTTATATAGAGATACCGAATGAGAAAAAATTTGTACAGTGCATTGACACTATTAAGTCTTAGTTACAGGTAATTGCAAATAAAAAGATCTCATACCTTCTTAAAAAACAATTTCAAAGTATATATTTCCATTTATAACAAAAACACATACTGCGATACTTGTGAATTTTGAAGAAATCACTATCTGACATCAAAATAGATCTGATAAGCATGATTGAGTAACTTTAAGGTAAAAATTCACTAAGTGGATTCTAAATAAATGAAACACTCAACTAGGATTTGAAGTACCAGTCCTTCAAAAAAACGAAACTCAAAAGCACGATCAAAACGATTACAGTTCTTATTTGCATTCACTGTAATAATATTACAGATTTTTAAACAATAGTATGACTGGATTTAGTTCTTGAGAATTAAGAAACCTACTTAAAGCAGTTCTTGTTCAACTTTGTCCTCGACGTACTTTTAGAGATAACACTTGCCTCGTCTAAATTTTCAGGGGTTGAACTTCTACCGGGAGGTTCACTTGTTGACTTAGAATATGCTGATGACATAGTTCTATTTGGTGAAGACGCTGACAAAATGCCGAGTCTTCTGACCACTCTAAACAATAATGCAGGGATGTTCGGGATGCGATTCTCCCCCTCGAAATGCAAAATGTTGCTTCAGGACTGGGTGGCATTGACACCCGAACTAATGATAAGGAGTGAAGTAGTTGGGCGTGTTGATCGCTTCATTTATCTTGGAAGTCTCATCAGCCCTTGTGGTCTGGTGTGTGACGAAATCTCAGCACGGATACAGAAGGCTCGACTAGCTTTTGCCAACTTGCGTCATTTATGGAGTAGGCAAGATACCCGTCTATCAACCAAAGGACGGGTTTTTATTGCACAGCAGTCCGTTCCATCCTACTTTATGGCAGTGAAACATGGCCAGTAAGAGTAGAGGATATTTGTAGGTTACTAGTATTTGATCATAGGTGGCACAAGTCCATGAAGTCACTGACAAGTGAACTGAGTCATGTTGGTAGGTGTAAACTACCTGGTTGGGGACCGCGAGATGATAGCAACCGATGGTTAGAGACCCTGAATGACATGGCTCAAAATCGTTTGCAATGGCGCAGGTGCATCTACTCTGTGTTCTCCCAAATTCTAATCTTCTGAATTCTTCATGTCCCTTTTTTCCTCCTTCCAAATTTATTTCACTGTATTATACTCTTTAAATAACATCTCCAAACACTAGTTTTCCTGATTACTGCTTATACTCTTATTACCTCTACCACTACGGGATTTGAATCGACCACTGCATCTCTATGCTAATGTGGTGTGGCAACTCTAACTGATAAGATGGTGGAGAAGATTTGTAGCTCAGGTGGATGATTTTGGTGTACGTACGTACGAAGTTCTACGTTGTTATTGACTGACTGACTGACTTAAAGCAGTGACCAGAGTGCGATTCATGCGGTTTGTTGATGCTTGTGATGAGGCAAGAAGTTAACATACACCGTAATAAGTTTCTATGTATACTTACCATCAACTAGGAGTGAGCTCTTTTGAACTAAAACAAAAAGGCCAAATATTGTGAAACTTGAGTGAGCTGATAAAATTAAACTTAAGAGTCGAGGTACGATGTGAAGTACTAACCTGAATTGGAGCATGCGGAATCTGGGAGGATTTCAAGACCACCATTTGTGTTTAAATCAACCCTACAACTACCTACCAGTTCAGCAGAAGGCGAATGTTTATCCGGACGTTTCTTGCCATTTTGATTGAGACGCCTAAATGGACTAAGAAACATATGAGCCAAGCGTTTTTGCTTTGTAGAAATATTTGATACACGACTATCGGAATGAAAGACTGTGTGCGCTGCCATAGTCTAGTAAAGAGAAACAGTAACGCTACTTTCGTAAATAGATACTAGGTCGCTTTTTATGTCCAATTTATTTGTGAAATGACTTCGGTGTACCTATTCATGATCTAAAGATAATGTTTGACTGATCACATTCAGCCAAGGTTTGTCAGTGAAACCAATGATATCGTCATTAGTTGTAAAGAACTATTTATTTCAAGTATTTGGGATTTAGGGTGTATCATACTAGCATTCCAAAGTCAATCGGAATGAAGCGGAAACCATCATTTTCTCCTTTTTTCCAAGCATTGACGTTCGACTTTCTTTGCTCTGTGTTTTTCTGCCGGCTTTTAGGTGTCTCTGCAAAAGTTGATCTTTCGGGGTGTCAATATCATGTAATTTATGTGGTGATCTAAATAATCACTTTTCCGAAGAGGTTTGTTTTTTTCGGCTTTCATTACAATTAATACTCAGGTCAGTGTATTCCTCCGGGAGAGTTTACGTGTTTTACATTACAGAACTTTAATACATCTTGTTTTGAGTGTTTTCTTGTAGATATCAAACATAAGCGCGATTGTTTTTCCCCTATGATCAATGTTGCTGCCACATGAGATTTTCTAACTGTCCGCATGCATATTTCTAAGTGCTGCTTATCGAAGACCTCGAAAGTAAACGACGTCCTGTCTGCTATTTCTCTTAATATTGTGAACAAACCCCTCCGCAAAATCAGGAAAACTTTGCTCCAACGTTCAGAGTATTACACTAACTTTTGAATTTTAGCACACTGAAACATCAAATTCCGTAGCTTCACAAAAGAAATAGCTGAAAGAAGCACAGAACGAAGAAAGCCGACCGCCATTGCTTACGAAGATGGCGAATGTAATAATTCCCGCCTCATTCTGATTGGTTGCTAAGCTGAAGGGCACATTTACGAAATTGAGTTGCGTTTAATTGCAGCCGTCGAACAAATACTGAGTGTTCAGTTGTGGCTCCCAGATATAAATTCTGAAGGTTTGAAAGACCCAATGATCTAACAAACTTAGACCAAGTCAGAGATGCTGTGCATCACTTGAAGAAGGTTGGTTATTGAAAATATATCAACCAACATTTTTACATGGACTGGACACAGCACGTGTCACATGAAGGCAAGTTGAACGACGAAGGTTCAGAGAGCCGCTATCATTATGGGTTGGTTCGTTGTTTAGTCCGTAAGAGGAAGCCGGAAAATCCCGGTCGTGGAGTGAAACCGTAAATAATAATTGTTTACTTCTTCATATATAAAGGTTTGCCGGTTTTCAAGTCATGTTTCGCTCGATGTGTGAGATATATCATCGTGGATGATCTGTGTTGGATGGTTGGGGTCTACATAAGTTAGACGAGAATAATGTGAACAATAGCTAACTTCGAAGTCACACCTCATGGCTAGTACCTATCGTGGACTACGCGTTCGTCGTGTTCAGGTACTATGACTACTTTGATGGTTTATAAGACAAACGATGTTATTACAGAAATGTATCAGCACGAGTGGGTTCAAGAAACGGAGTGCGTACACCACCTCATGAACCAGTCCATCGCATTCAGTTAACTGACCGACGTTGGTTGTCCTTGACAACGATGAAATCGGTGACCTGTTCAACATCCAGTGACATAACTGATGGGTAAATTGGCTGGGTCCCATTGACTTTTCACTGGCGCTACAATGTTATCTGGTACACAATAGCTTCATATATATTGCTTCACAAACATTCTCGCAACATAAAGTATTTATCAAAATTTTCAGTTGTCAGTTGTTTGTCAAGATTTGTCCGCACTTAACATTGCACTTACTCAGGAAGTTTGCGTTTGGTGAGGCAAACAGGCATTTCAGGTTTAGTGTTATGCGAAACAACCTTTAGAATTCGTCCTTCTTCATTTCAAATTATATTTTTTGGGTGAAGTCCATACAATTTCACTGGTTACTAGGTCCTGTAACTGGAGATTTTGATAAAATCAAATTTAACATTACTCAAGCTCATATTTTTCTTTTAAACCGACACGAAACTGCCAAGATAATATTTGTTATGACTTGAAGTTGAGGGTTCAAAACTTTTCTCCACCCCGTCGCCAATTGTTATGGCCTTGGATGTCTGGTTTTTCTATCACGCGATTTATCTACCAATCCGAATACGACTTATACGTATCTTCACACTAGGCCAACCAATGACGTTCAACCGGTGTGGGCAGTTTAGCGTCCTTATTGGTCCTATGTCCTACGAGCCCTTCCACTTGAGTCCAGAACAAAATACCAGCTTCCGAATCAGAGCAGATCGTTTATTTCAGGCATACTTGGTTTATATATCAATCACACAGACCGCAACGTACCATAAAATAGGAAATAATATTTGTACACAAATAAGCCCAAGAAGTGGCTGTGAATGAGGGAGGCAGTAGTTAATAAACTGAACATAACTTAAGAACCGTAAATCGTACAATAATAAATTATAGATCAAAATAAAGCTTATCATAAAAGGAATATAAATATCCATAGTGTAATTGTTGAGTAGTTATACAATAAGAATATTTATAGAATATTAGTCCATGAATAGTCCTCGGAAGTTACCTGTAATTTAATCTCCACTCGGATATAACAATATTCTTATACCATACTTTAGGCAGTCAATGAAAACAATTCACATAATCTTCATCTGCTGTATATCATCCCTTTGCTCCGATTTTTTAACTGGAATGTGTTCTACTTATGAAAAATAAGAGCACTATATTATATTCAGAAAATAAATATTTGCTACAAAGATGGTGGCCTTTGCACTCTTATTAGAACTGCCGTCGTAGGTTCACTGACAAACTAAGCGAACGCGTGGACAGGTTCTCTCAGCCGATATAATATGACCTGCCGTCAACACCTCTAAGTTGCAAACTGGGCACTGGGCCTCAGCGTAACAGGCCTTTTTACACGCTGACTAACAGAAACGACCTGATAACTGATCACTCCAACCACCCACTAAAGCCTAAAACCATTACTAAGAGTGGTTTTATCAGGCTTTTCACCTCACACCCTATCTACATTCCCCAGGATCAGAATTGTAATTACTCTCAGAAAGGAAAAATTTTGGAATACGACCCCTAGTGACACGTCTGTTGAAACATATAGCCCGTCATTTCAAACCACATGCAAAACACAAACTTGCTTCCCCCGTACAGTTTCTATCAGAGAGTTCTCCCATCCTTCCCCCTGGGTAAACTTCCCAATCAACTTCACTAGGTCATTTGATACATCTCCCACTAAGTCTAGCTATCAAGATACGGAGCTAGTGAAGAACATTCAATCCCTCACTTTAAACCCACATCACACCCGCTAACGTTGCGACAACTTTATTCGAGATACACTCAGTCATTTTAACTTAATAGGGCATTCCGTTAATATATGTCTTAACAACGCTAGATTGATCTGCAATAAGAAGACGGACTTGGCCCTGTTTGTATCCATATATCAGCCATCACTTATAATGATATTTGAAGCATGGACTAACAGTAATATTTCCTGCATGTAAATGATAGATTGAAAGGACGAGGCAGAGGATGCCTTATTTACACTCACTCTAGCTTAAACTCACTACTATGTGATATGCCTGAACTAAACAAACTAAAGGATTGGGTTTGGATTGTTTTAAAGCCGTCGAATTCCATTACCTTACTGTTCGGCTGTATCTACCGTCTACCTAACGCATCAGTAGGTGAAATAGTATTATCGGACGTTTACATACAAGCG